ATATTCTGCCATTATTTTTTCTATTTCTGTGTTTATTATTTCGTTGGATATTGCTGTTTTTAAACTCTGGATATCTGCTATTACCTCTTTCATAGCTTCTAGTATATCAGAATTAATATAACCTTGTCAATACATCTCTATATTTTCACATACTTCTTTTGTTTTCATCTTTGTTAATTCTGCTATGACGGGTTTTTTTCAGAACTTTTTGTTGTTGTTTTGCTTCACGTGACTTGTTGTTTTCTGACTACTGTTGTTTGCTGTTGTTGTTTGCTGTGATTGTTTACCATTTTTGTTTATTTTCGTCACGTGGTTCTTGTTATGTTTACCTTGTTTATTTTTCATTACATGTTGTGATTCTTGTGTCACCAAAACAGATCTACAATTCAGGGTCAAGGATATAGGATAACTTTCTTCTGATTGGTCAATTTTATTCAATTAAATTTATACAGTTTAAAGTACTTTTCAAGATCTAAAAATTTTTATACCGTAATATCATAAAATAACTATCAAAAATCGTTTAGAATACTTGCAAAAGGCTTCATACAAAATAATCCCAAATAATCTCAATATTTAAGTATACTTTACTTAGAGCTAAGTTCAATATGGAAGAATAGCAATGCGCGATAACTATATGTTCTAAAGTTTCTGGTTAACGTATAAAAACCGTAACTAACTGGGTCTGGGAAAGTGCTCAAGAAAAAGGTATCTTGTTAGCTTACTTGCAAGTCGGTCAAGAAGTATGTCAACGTTGTTATAATGGGTTAATGCAGTCATCAATTGTGATGAAGGAGTACGCAAAAGCGACTTATAATATTCAACCACTTGACGCTGATGCATTAGATCTAGATGTTAATACGTTAGATCCAGAGGTTAATACGTTAGATCTAGAGGTTAATACATTAGATCCGGAAGTTATATCCTTTTTAATAGCAATAAAAATCATGACTAATATTCTATATAAGCGCGAAGTAATAAAAAAATTGTCAGCATTTCAAACGTTTGAAGAATTTCGTGCTTATATGGAATCAGAAAATAAAAATTTGTCAGTTTTTTTCAATGAACTTATATTATTAGTAAATCTATCACAGAAAAAAAAAGAA